TTTGTTTAGTATTTATTTTATGCAAGTTTTATAAAATATTAAAATTTAAAAATGCTCAAATCTAGCATCAAAATGTTAATAGTACTGTGAATACTTAAAACAATTATTTGTTATACCATTATACGATGTAACAGATAATATACAGATGTAAGTTGTATTATAGGTCAATTCGCACTAATTATAAAAGTTAACAAGTAATAACAAAACATGGTTGAGTTTTCTGAACACAAATGTTTCTATGTTGCTCGTGGGCCAGAGATAGTATGCTGACATATTCTTAATGACATATATCTTTATTTAGTAGTTTGCGGGGTTAAGCACTTAAAATTGCAATAAAAACAATAAAACATGCAAAACACAGGTATTTATTTATTATTAGATACTTACTTATAAATAGCAATTTATCACTTAAAATTATTATAATTAATTAAAATTTGAATTTTTGATTAACGATAATTTTTTTTTTTTAATTTGAATTAAGCCTCGGTAACTATGGCCATTGGCAACAAAGAGTTTAACTCCAAATGTTTTACATGTTATAATATAAGTTACATATTAAATACTATTGATAAGGTTGGACTTAGTAATAAAGGTTAACATGTGTCTTATGTTGTTTCAACTATAATTGTAGCTAGTGAAAATGACAAAAGCAAATTACGAAGTTCAGCAAACGACGAAAATCGCGGTTAAAATTAGTAGACTTCAAAAGTTTAAAATTAAGACAGAATTATTTGAAATAGTAAATGCCGATGTTGTGAATCAATGATTGCCGTGGATGATTTCAAAATTAAAAAAAATAATCAAAAACACTTCGATTAAAATGTATTCAATAAAAGATGAGAAATAATGATTTTAAAAAATAGGTCAAAATTCACAAGTAGTATAAAAAGTTCAGAAACAGCACTACAGTCTAAAAAATAGCAAAATATGTAAGAATAGTCAAAATTAAATTTTTAATTTCAGTTCTCCGAATCATGAAGAAAAAATTTAAGCTTACTTTGTTATTTTTTAAGTATTTTAAAAGAAATATGTAAATGTTTATAAAAAAAAAGCTTTGATCCAAAAACTTATCATTCAATTCGGATATGATAATTTTTAAATTATAAATATTTAATATTTTTAATTTCAACAACTCAACTTTGACTTGCTAACCCGATAAAAATAATTTTAAAAAGGGAGTGAAAACAAACTGACTATGGTGATTTAAATTCAAAGCATTTGCTGCCATTTCAGGAATTCGATAATACTTATTAAAAAAAAAAAGTTAACTTTTCCCCTGACCAACAGTATTATATTATGTATTATATTGTTACATCGCGGTTGTACAAAATAAAATATGAAATAAATATTCAAATATTTTTACAAGCTCCCGAGACTTATAATATGTGTCATTATTAAGCACAAATATTTTTAGTAGATTTCTTATATTTATATATTGGTTTTTAGAAATTCTGTATGTTTCTAATGACATTTTTAAAAAAAAAATTGAGTATAGACCACCGATATCAGGTTGAATTCCAAAGTAATCATGAGTGCCATACGTAAGTTATAACGTATAATATATAGGTATACAATTATTGCAACGTTATAATAACTTGCGAAAAATGTTTTAAAAAATAATCAGAAATACATTGATTGGCTTGGTTTTATTGCAGGATCTAAACAACTTCAAAGAATTTATTATCATATTTTAACTTCATACATACCTACAATGTGTGTTATTGTTAAGGGTTGCATTTCTTTGTCCATAAAATAATTTGCGTCACGGCCAACAGTTTTATACGTACAGCGATACAACACATGTGGTTCCGGTGGTGACTGGTGAATTATCATTATAAATGGCTTCATACATTATACATAATATTATATAGACGCGGAGAAAATATTCTTTTGAAAGCAAACACTAAATACTAATTTTCTCGAAAAGTCTACAGCGTTTTTGCAAACATTTTCTTTTTGTACACATTTTTTTGGTATCAGTTTTTTTTTAATATTCGACAAAATTATTTTCAAAAACGTTAGTGGCTATTATATTTTTAGGGATAATCAGTTACCCGAATTACCTTTTAACGAATTATTTTGTATATTATTCGTGCTTGTAATAATTATATTGACATTGAATTGTCATCGGAGTGTTCAGCTAAGTTTATTACTTGATATTATTGAGGGAGAGTAAGATGCGTAAGATTACATACAGTTGGCTGTATTTTTAATTAACCCGACTTGTTTGAATACTATAATATGACATGTGCTAATAATATGCCATAGTACTATAAAAATCGAATTATTTTTTACAATTAATAGGAGCATGCTGTTTTTAATCAAGTCTTGTACCTAGTTAAGTTAATTGTGAATAACTTTATAGAATGTTGTTGACTTACGCATGACTAATCAAGTGTATACTATCAACGGTCATAGGAATAACAGATGGACTCAAGAGATTCTATCAAGTTTGTAAGACTTAATTGCTTTGAAAAAGAAATGGCGTTGCATTTACATCCTACAGAACATTGAGAAAACATTTTTTTTTTCGTTTTTGCTTCAGAATCTAAATGAAAAATAATTTATTTAATATTTAGAATATTATTTTATGAAATCAGGTTCAGATTATGGTTGATAATATTATAATGATCTATATTAAGAATCAGCATTCAGATTTTTGATTGTATTTGACAGTCAAAACTTATACTTTGCAAATTAATTTTCGCAATAAAAACCGTTTGCTTTTAAAAATATAATAACTGAAAAATATGTGTCAATTGATTTGGATACAAACAATAATATTTTAAACTTGTTATAAGTAATCAGATGATTGTTATATAAATTCGCAAAATCCTTTTCGAGAACTTGGAGACATGTTTAAACTTTATATTGGGTGTTCGAATACAATGACAAAAAAAACTTATTTTTTTGAAACTTATCTTAACTGAATAATTAATTATATTTTAGTATAGAACACTAATTCAGTACTTATAATACACAAATAATCGTATATAAATTTAAAGTTGAATAATCTTTTCATTTTATAAATTATTTAAATTTATTATTTGACAGTCCATTTCATATTCAGTATTTAATTCATTCAAATATTGAGTAGAGTCGTACATGTAATAAAAGCATAATTTTTTAACTTTCATGCGTGCGGTATACTTGTGCGGCGTGTAACTGTCATTAATTATAATAATTATCATTATAATATTTTTTTATATTATATTATAAGTATGATTGACTTATTTTATATTTTCAATGTAATTTGCTTCAAGTTAATGTTTATTTTTTATTTCATGTTTTTTTTTTTTACCATTCCCGAAATTAATAAATTATAGTTGGTAGACGACGGCGGGTCCCTTTTGTCGACGATTGATATGTAGACATAATATTTTATTTTCTCAATATTAACATCATAATAATAACATGAACATTGTAAATGTATCATCATATTATACAACATTCATCAGCTTTGATTTTTTAGTGGGTATACATTTTTATTAAGCTAATAATTCAATAAAGCATTGGTGGTAAAAAATTATTATATTACACGGTACTAATGAATTTATCAAAAAGGTTACACCCTTTACTTTAAATATTTTACAGTGGATGATATGTGTAAAGTGTTACACGCACAGTACCTAGTAAATAGTAAAATGTCAAGCCATATAAATAATTTATTTTATCAGGAGCTTATCTATTAATAAATGATATTACTATTTAAAACTCTTAGTTCTAATTTTTAATATGTTTAAATGAATAATTTAAAGTATAAAATCATAATTCATTCGAAAAATGTACTAAAAGTACATTGAATAAGACCAGGATTTTGAAATTCATTACCTACACTAATTATATAGTTAACAAACATAATTATTAATACATATAGATGGCGTATCATAATATATTCAGACATTCGATGTAAAAAGATTGTGTGTATTGGTACAATAGTAAATATCAGAATAACAGAATAAACTGTTGTAACGTTAACATAATATATGTATAATAATAAAAATACCTAATAAACATTTAATGCGAGAAAATATTGACATAATTATTAGAGAGCCATTGATTATTATTTTATATTTTGTACATAATATAAAGTAAAGAATTTTATCACGTAGAAAGTACAATATAATTATAATATTAATATCAAATCAATACAACACACAAGTATGCCTATAACTAGGATCAACAAATAATAGTTATTCATAGACCTTATAGGTTTTCAAAGGTTGTACTACATAGCATACTGTCAAGGACTCATTCGGCCCAACATTATGAAAAGAAAAAAATCTGCTCTATACTATTACAACCTTAGCTTTTAAAACTAATAAATGTTTTTAAAATTAAAACTTAAGTATTTGATGCAATTGAAATCGTTTTATTATTTATATTGTATTTTGAATCATAAGTCATTTGTAAAAGCACTAAAATCTAAAGTATGAATGTAATAGGTGGATGGATCATTTCACTTAGTTACATAATCATTCTTAAAATAATTAATAGCGTTAATCTTGGGGTTCTCAACATAAATTAGTGAAAAAATATTATGAATTAAATAATGCAATTATTATAAAAAAAAAATTTCACTGACAAATAATTGTCTTGAATTTTTAAAGTATTTACATAAAAATATTTGAGTTTCAAATATAAATTTGTATTTAAATTTAAAATACCGAATTCAAAAAATATTTTAAAAGTATTCCAAACTCTCCATGTTACAATCAAATACGTGTTTTACTATTTCGTGTCGAAAGTTTTACAATAAACTATTCATAACTTGTAAACAATTAGATACACAGTCACGCAGCTGTGATGCATTTAGTCATTATTATTGCATTGTTGATGGTCGATATATTATATTATTTATATAAATATTTTTAGTATGATAATAATATTGTATTATTTAAAAAATTTATCACGCAATCCGTAATGGAAATCCTGTATTATAATAATATGATATGTTTTCTGAAAATTTGCAGACCCGGGGTAATTGAATGCGGGTCTGCGACGAAGGTGTTCTAAATATAAAATGTCCTAAAAAGATCGTCGACAATAGTAATACTAAAGTCCACCCCTGTTAAGGTCCATGCAGATGAATATATAATGTAAGTGATCTTAAATTTTTTATAGCATATTATAAATGTATAAATAGAGTCAAGAGTAAGTATAGACGTTTTATGGTAAAGCGAGGTTTGCCCTGAACAATTGGTAAAAAACTGCAGGTCTTTATATTTGAGTTCGCGACTTTCGTAGTTTTTTTAATTTCCAAGCCATATTAACAGTTAGTAAAAACAAAAAGTAATTACTTGCAGGATATAATTATTTGTGTACACCAAGTATTCAGAGCTCCCCGATACATACTTTCTAAATGAAAATAATGTAATGTAATTTTTTGAATTACGCAAATACATTTAAATACACTTAATATTATATTATATTATATTATACACAATTGGTTGTGTATTCAATGTACTATAAAAATAATTGTCTTAAGTTTATCTAGGTAATACATTTTGATAAAAATGTTAATTTCAACGTTAGCTATTCATCACCTACGTAATATGTTAGGAAAAAGAACTACATTTACTTCAGTACATTTGTACGTTTCAGAAAAAAAAACTTACGTGTTACATAAAGTGTCCAGGGTTTCTGTATTGTGCACTCGTACTATGAGAACAAAATAATATAAAAAGGTATAGAGTATATAATATGACGGAGGGACAAATTCTACGTGTAGTGGAATATGACATTTATTTTTTTTTTTTTGGTAGATATAGAAATATCTTCGCACGTAAAAGGAATAGACTCTCGTGCCTTTCAAACTTACTTTTATCTTATACTTATATTTAATTGAAAAAATTCTCGAAAATAGCTGATGTGAAGTACTCTACGCGATTCTATTATTTATTTTTTGTATCTAGAAGTGGGTTTGTTACTTTGATATAAGGGCCAGTTGTATACATCATACAGGCACGTAGGTATGGCCGAACAATTCCTAAGGGTATATGTTTTCAAAATATCCATTCAAACTGTTATAGAATAAAATATAATATAAACTAAATAACGATATTATTTGTCACTTGGTATGGATAAAGTAGAACATAAGTAATTTTTTTAGTTAGGTATAAGATAACTTATACTTACTGATATGATTATTTAATAGCAATAATAATTTTAAAACATAGGTATATACCTACAAGATGTAGCAGAAATACTGGAACAATTTAATAACTTTTGTTTTATTTAATATTTAAATATTTTTTTTAAATGTATAATTTAAAGACCTTTGCTTTACTACTGTAGTATAACTTTGTTTTCGATGCCGAAAATAACAATTTAACAATTTTTAAAAAAATTCAAAATAACCAATTCGTAAATCTAATTCTTAGACAAATTAGTATGATGGTAAACGCGACGTGTTCATTATAGTTAAGTAGTTTTTTTTACTGCTTTTTTATATCACTATTTTTTTGGAGTACCTAAATGAATTTAAAACGTGAGACCTTTTTTAAAAATAATCTTATTGCCGTGTCTTGAAATTAGTAAATTTCTTACATTATTAAATATTAATATCTACATAATTTTTATGATACATAATTGTCGTCATACGTTTAATTAGTATACCTATCAATTTTTATTTGTTTTTCTCGAGTATTTCTGTGATACTCTGTATTGCTTTAAGCAACTTAACAAGATAAAGCAGTGGCGTGGTACCTGCGAAGGGACGGGAATCAAACACCTGAAACAGCTAAAATACCTCTCTCCGAAATCAGCCATGTTTGCTTAAATCATATAATATCGTGAAATAAAATATATACTTTATATTATATAATATAATCACGTAAACAAGTACACAGTTGTATGTTTAGCTCGAGGACAACACAGATTGTAGAAAACAAATAGAAAAACTGTTTATGTTGTAAATTCGGAAACATAAAATATAATTATTTACACCCCGCGGATCTTTCGGAACAAACTTTGTCAGAGCTGCTTAATGTCAACTTAAAATCATTTTTTTTTTAATGATAGCTGCTTTACAGGCAGTCTCCTTCCCAGACTTCCCATATAATATGTACCTATAGGTATCTAGTTCGTATACAATGTACATTGCACGAATATTATTAAATTACGGAATATCGATATGAATAGCTGGCACTAATCGATAGCAATATTTTAAGGCGGACAGCAGCTGGCGCGAAAGACTTTATTAAGACGTATTAACACGTGTGGGTATTGTTTAATTTTTTGAAAAAAAAAAATGTAATAACACAAGACAATTTTATTTTGTTGTACCTGTTTCGTTTATTAAAAATGAATATAATTTATATAATAATAATAATAAGTTAATAACTCAATTCCACAATAATAATAATAATAATAATAATAATAGTAACATTCTTGTACTGTTTATTATATTTTATAGTTTCCCGCGGAGCGTAAAGAAAAGCGACTGACAACCGAAGATAATTTTAAGAAAAATGCCATCAAGCGTGATGGTTTTTATTGAGTTCGGATCAGAATCGACAATTTGTTGAACAGGATAACAATTTATTCGATCACACAGCGATTACAATCGACGATGTTTGAATATAATACACATAAGTACGCAACACACACACATATTGTGCTGGGATTACGTCGTGCTACCGCGTATATGGTCGCGGTCCTGCAGCAGCAGATAAACTACCTACCTACTCACCTATTATGGACACGGGCAGTGCAATCGATGGTGGGTACTCACGAGCTGAGCTGAAAGGGGAAATTTTCCATTTTATCACAAAAAAAAAAAATAGATATAAGTTTATGTTTTATATAGTTTTAGACAATTATTTGTTTGATGTTTTGTATTTTTTCAAACTCTAAAATATAATGACTCGGGAACAATATTAGGAAATCCACATTCTTATAGACTTATCTAGGTATCTATACTGAATACGTCCCCCAAGCTGAACGATGACCAAAAGATTATGTATTTATTTAACAGTGAAAATAGTTATAATTTGTTAAATGTTTCTAAAAATCATGTAAAAGCATGTGAACATCAAAAAAAAAAATTTCAAATTCAAATTTTGAAAAAAAACTTCAAAAATTCCCCTTATTTAATGGTCTGAAAAATAAAAGAAATGCAAAGCAAAAAATAAAATAAAATAAAATGGGCATCGTATATTCCAGTTTTAGTAAACACCAATCACGGCAAGGAGCATTGTAAAGACCACGGCAGACTATATAGTCTACCGCGGTAAAGACGGACGGACTCAAGGCGTGCAGGATTCGAGGGTTCTATGGACTTTTGTTACTTCCCACGGAAGGAAAGGCGCCATGTATTTTAGGGTTTTTACTCGAATAAACTCTATTAATTTTATTTTTTCAACCCACCCACATCAATCACACCAGTCACATAGAGTAGTCGTCGCCCCTACATCCCCCCTGCAACAAAATCTCCACTCGTATAATATTCAAGCCGGGTATTCAGTACAACTAGGAAAGTGCAAAAGGCTCTTACACCCACAAGCTTTAATGTAGTACTGCTAAGTTAAAATTTAGCACACCTTGTTTTTTTAGGTCTAAATGTCAAACTGTTGATATTATTGTGAAACACCAACAATTGTATGTTTTTTAAGTATGAAAATAAATATATATAATATTCTTACTTCTACTTCTTACTCGATCAACCTTGAAATCCAAACTCTCCCTATCCTGTAAACTTATTATAGGTAGGTATACGATACACAAGTCAATAATTCGACAAGTTTAAACATTAAGTATTCAGCTATGAAGGTCCGCTGTGTCCATCGATACCAAAAGGCTTGAATCAATCTGCTTAAGACTAACAACGCCTTCTTCTTGATATTCTACAAACAAAAATCGTCATAAAGACCTAACGATTGTCAATTCCTACTTTCAATCAGTTAGCAAAATTAAATTACTTTAAATTTCATACCAACTGAAAGTCTCACGGTAACTCAAAAAACTATGTCATCCGTCTCACTTTTCGGTACCGAGAGGAGATTCAAAAGACAGTAGTGGCTCCCAGAGACCTACTGAGACAAGAAAAAAAGCACAATAATGCCTAAAAAGTACCAGGCCGCGTGTCACTGCGACCGATTGCCGGCCCACAAATGTGAAGTAACCTTCACTGCGGCTCTAACCATTACTATCGAATTTACTCGTAACATTATGCCGCGTGTCTTATCGTGATTTATAATAGATCGTAAATCGATCTAGTAAAATGTGTGCGGAATAAAAGTGTCGATTATCGTACGAAATCTGTGACGCGCGAGACCGTGTAATTCCAGTAGCGATAAGGGCGAGGGGGTGTTCAGCGAGGTGTTTGCGATCTATTACAGTACCCCGAGTCTTAGAGGTGTACTCGCGCCCGCGGCCGGGTGCCCTCCTCGATCCGAAAATAAGCACACACGTGCGTACACACGCACACACGCGCGCACACCTATACGACATTATGTCGTGTACGCGCGTGTCGAATTCACCGCTGCAGCAGTAACAATTATTTACGTATCGTAATGTCCACGTGCGTGCGACGCAATAACTATAATAACAACGACTAAATAATATTAATGTGTACGTAATATACGACCGAGCACGCGGCGGCGACGGGTGGCGGCGCGTAACAGTGCGAAACGTTTTCGGTGCGTTTCCGTCATCGGCGACAGCAGCAGCAGCAGCAGCAGCAGCAGCAGCAGCCACCGGCCACCGGCCACCGACCGAAACCGGCAGCACCACGTGCGACGGACGTCGTCGTCGCGAGAGCAGGTTGTGCGCGTTTCCCCGTCCCGCGCCCGCCGGCCGTCGAGCAGTTCGGCTATCGTCACCGCGCGCAACATTCACGCCTTGCGCGCGCGCGCGCGCGCGTAATACGCATACCATTATTACTACTACTACTATTATTATTATTATTATTATTATTATTATTATTATTTCGTACTCCCGAGGGCGCGTGCCGGCGCGTGGCCGCCCGAGCAGAACCCATAAGTTGCGCGCATTATTTAAACATCCGACTCGGGCGGCGAGGTGGGTGTCGTCGGTGGGTCGGCGGGGCGGTGCGGCCGGAGGGGAGGGACGGCGACCCGGGCCGGTGGCGGCGGCGACCCGGCACACCGGCCGAGCCGATTCCATTATACAGCTGTCAGTGTGCCGTATTATATTAATACATATATATATATATATAGTAAACGCGGGCGAGTGCGCGCGCGCGCGCCTATGTGTGTGTGTTTTTTCTTTCGAAATCTGACGAACCGTGACTTCCACGAGACTCTCTCGGGTGTGTGTGCGTGTGTGTGCGCGTGTGGGTGTGTGGGTGTGCGTATAATATACACTATAATATAATAACGCAGTCACCTGTCAGCTGCCAACCGTTCCGGCGGCGGCGCGTATATAATATATTTAGTGCACCGGCGGCGGCGGCGGGCGATCCCGTATACTGTGCGGCTGCAGACGTGCATTATAATAATAATAATAATAATAATAATAATAATAATATATAAATACACACATAATATAGGTGTACGCGTGTACGTACTAGGTACGCATTACCGGTGTTATTTATAAACATATTTTGTGTGTGTTTATTGTGCACGATATCCGAGATCTATAAAAATAACGCTCGTGCTTAAATTTAAATATAACAATAATTTATATATATATACGTACATACCTAATACGAACGAAACTATAATGTGCTGCACGCCGCTGCACATGCACAGCACCCGCGCCGACGGTACGTGCTGCAGTTATCGCTCGGCATACCCTGCACTGCAGTGCAGTCTGCCATTATATGCCTGTATCTGGTGTATAATAATAATAATAATAATAATAATAATAATAATAATAATGATATGTGATGTTTGTATAGAGATCGAAGTCGAGACGTCGTGTTCTCGACGTAAACGAAAAAAAAACCGACATACGCGTTTATAATAATTATTATATTGTGATTATAATGTAATATTAATCAGATCGGTTGGCCCCCGGCTACAATATTATATAGGAACATATTTTGAAGAATATTATAGCTAATAATAATATTATACCTTTACATGCAGCAGCGTATACCTACTACCGTCGAAACGGATTAGAACGTTGTTATTACGAGCGACAAGTGCGTTGTACCCGCACATCCACCAAAATAAGGGTAGAACGCTGAATTTGTTTTACATTTAACTATTTAAGTGTAACGTACGATATTTATATATAATATATACGTGTGTTGTACCTGTACGTGTAAAATCAATGAACTCCTAAACCCTTTGAAACTGGATTTTTAAATTTTTAACATCAATAGTTTTTTTCAGTGTAATTGAAAATTGAAGTGCACTAATGTATTACAAAGTGTAAGAAAGTCGTTTTCGAGTAAATTGCACGAAGAATTCTTGTATATTGTATTTCTTACGTTGTATGAGCTCATACGATATCTGATAGAATAAATTATAGGTTCATTAACAGTTCGTATAATATTATTGTGTCAAATGATTGATACTTTTGACAAAAAAATAACAAAATAATTAATATTCCTGTAGTGCATTTTTGCAGACATGTGCAGTTGCACGTGCTAGACCGCTTCGCAATTATTTAACACAGTGTTCCACGCACTAATGATCACTTACTACGTAAACATTCATATGACACGAGATCGCACGCACTTAGAAAATGTCCTGTGCTAAATTCCTTAAAAATTATCGGTATCGAATCCCAATAATATACATACACATACGACATAGTATTATAGACTATATAGTTACCCTAAATCTAATAATATAATGTAGTCGTCTATCAGATGTGGCCAAGCCACGGCGAGTACCGTATGAGTTATAATTATAACGAATCAAAATTATAATAGATGGGTTGTGCGGAGGGGTACAAGGGTAACCCGTAAGACCTTGGATAGTGACTACTCCACTTATTAAAATTTTTTATATATAAGGTATATATATGTACCTAACTAATAAGCTATTTGTTCAAAATTTGATTTTTATAGATTTAAAAAATACTCAGAGCAATGTTTCGCTTCGGAATATGAAATCAAAAAGTATGTTGTCGCATTTAAAAGAGAAAAAAATTGCATTCTAAAAATGTTCTATTAAAACAACTTCTCATTAGGTACTTAATCATGTTAAAGAAATATTTTCGAAAAGCTTTATCGTTTTCTGCAATAATGTGAGTGTTTTTCGTTAAACGGAACACTCCTTAAATACCTAAGTACCTGTAAAAGGGTATTAAATAATAAATTGTATATTATTATAGGGAGGCACAAGACGGGCTGCAGGTTGACGACGCACGTCCGCCGCAGCGGGATCATCGTCTGTCCTAATTATACACGTAGGTAATACTGCATTGAATTGGAATCACTCAATCATCACATTAATGCGTTGACAATCACGATCGGAACATTTTTTGTATCTCTTATGAAGAAAGGCACGTCATATTTAGTCTACAAATATTTATTTTTACTTTTTTTTGTTCATACTAAACATTGGCATAGTGGCAATCCACTTAATTACATTGGGGCCAAGCATATGATAACTATATGTGAGTTCATTAGAGATAACCGTTAATATACTAATTACATTTTTGTTGAACAAATCCAAATATACTAGTAGTGATTATGCACACAGTGAACTAATTGTAACTAACATTATAACTTTACATTAAAAAAATATCTTAATTGCACTGTTTAACTATAGGCGCACGCACATTATAAAATGTCACACACGAGAATTCAACTAA